TGTAGGCCTTCTTGCATTATTATGCTGTTACATTATGATTATATATTCAGTGGCATAAAATGGTCTTTAAAATGACAATAATATTGCTTATCGCAATTATTTCTGGGGCAATATATCGCACAACAAAAAGTTGTTATCGTGACAGGCCTAGGTACAAGTCATGAAAAAGTTAATTTAGTTTCAACTGAATTTCATTCAGTTAGCTTTTTGACACTTTAAATATCATATTAAAGTATGTTTTAAATATAATGTAGTACTTTTAATACAAATTAATTTAAACAAATATATAGTTATATTAATGAGACAATAAGGATAAAAATGTAATATTTTTTTGTACCATTCATTGAATAGACTTCATTGTGTGAGAATAACAGAAAAAAGGTTGACCCCTAATTCCCAGTGTTGCACTTTTGCCACCCTTAGAAAAATGGTCTCAAATGTATGTTCAAAATTTTTCAAGAGCTTTAAGCCTTTTCCCATCACCACGAAATAAAAATGTTAAAATATAAATACAATCTATAAATAAAAATTATAGATATTCATACACACAAATATTTAAGAAATATTTATACACACACACACATTATATATATATAAAATATATACATGTATGTGTGGGTATAAAATATACACAGTACACACAGACATATTATGTAAATCCATACTATTATTTTGAATGCGATTAATCGCAATTAATCAATTTGACAAGCCTAATTTACATCATTCAAAACGTCTCCTTTTGTGTTTCAGAGTTGAAATGTCTGGAACAACGTAACAGTAAGTAAATTAGTTTTTTTATTAGAATTTTTATATTTTTTATATTTTATATTTGTGGAGCTTATTTATCTGGCTATATTGTTCTAGTGCAGATACGGATGCAACATTTGTCATAAGTATGCTTGTTCATTTGTATAAAAGCACCTTCTAAGTGAATAAATGTAAAATAATCTGACATTTTTATTTATTTTATTTTTTTTGGTTTCAACTTAAATACTTTTTTTTTGTAACATCTTAGATATTTCACAGCTCTACTTTTATCAAGCAAATGCTGTTATGATGGCATTTGATGGACACAGTAATGGATAGTGGATCAGGACAGTGTGTTTGTGATGAATGTCTCAGAGAGACTGAACAGAAGGGGCTGTTTCTGCAGCCGTCTGATTGCAGTATGGTAATTCACAGCACCGCATCACAGTATCACATGTTGTACAGTCAGAATTAGCATTTTAGCTCATGTCTCCAGGGCTTTATTATCATGGTGAGCGTGATTTGACCAAGTACATGTTCCTGGATCAACATCCTTGTTGATCCTGGAACATAATTCCAATCAACCAATCAGAATTGAGAGATAACTTTTCAGGAAATGTCAGTTTTAGGCTTACAATCATGGTTAGATGCTTCTACACCCTTGTTAATCAGATATCATTTCCCTCTGATTTTAGGAATAAATTATGGGTA